GCAGGCTTTGCCAATGATATCTGGACAAAAAAACAGTTTCAGTTGTTTCTGTGAATTCCATGTAGTCAGTCAGTGTTTTTTTTCCCCCCCTAATTCATCAACTTGTCTGTTCTTTCTGAACTTCCACTTACCGTTGTGTAATTCAATTCTTGTTGCCCTCTTTGTCCCTCACTAGTTATAGCTTCAAATTAGTTTTAGTGTAAATTTTCAAACAGTGCTTTGATACCCTTTCCTTCCTATTTTTATTTCTATTATGTGACCTTTTGCCTTATATTTTAAGAAGGAGTTTCTTGCTTAGCTAAGAGGATCTTCTTATGAAATACCTAGTCTTCTGCTGTTGTAGGATAAGTCTGTTCCTGAGCACTTCATTAATGTTCCTTGAAATGTTTTCTAGCTCCTCTGGAAGCTTTACCCCATCATGGCTCTAATAATATTCTATCTAGTAATTCCCTATGTAAATTGTAATATGATCTTCTGAAACCCCAAATCTGATCTGTTCTTCTGAAACCTTTGGTCACAGTTTTGTTGTTTGCCTTCCCAGCGTACTTCTGGATCCTGAGCTCAATTACATCTTGTGGTTGCTGAAGACAGATGTCCTATCTGTGGCCACATTCACTAGCAGTTTATTTTATTTTGGTGAGCAGTAGGTTGATACAATCTATGCCTTTGGTGGTCTACACTTTTTTTGGTGAACACTACAGTTCATTGCTCATGCTCTACCTTCATGATAGTTACAGATCCTCAAGATCCTCAAGATTCTACTGTGGGATGTGTCCTATTAATTGTCTTTGTTGATGATCTAAAGGAGGAAATGGTGTGTACACACTTTTAGTTTCCAGATGACACAGAACTAGGAGGTGCAGTTGATACACTGTGTTGCCATACAGAGGAAGCTAGATGAAACAGAGAAATGGGCTGACAGGAACCTCATGAAGTTCAGTAGGGAAAAATGCAGAATCCTGCACTTGTGATAGACTTAATTCACTGCCACTGTCCAAGCTCACTAACAGCTTTGCTGAAAAAGGCCAGGAGAACAGAAATCTGAGGCATGAACGCAGTACTGTAGCATGACGGCGATGAAAGACAACAGTATCCTGGTCTGTATCAGTAGTAGCCAGCAGAGCAAGGGAAATTATTATTTCACCTTTATATGGAACCCTTTAATCCATATGTGGAATGGTACGGCCTGTTTTGCACCCCTCATTACAGGAAAGGTGTTAAAAATTTCAGCAAATGTAAGGAAGAATCACCAAAGTGGTTAGGGCTTGAGCCTTGAGTGGAGAAACTAAGAGAACAAAATTTGCTCATCTTAGACAAGAGATGGCTTTTGATCATATCTGGCAACCTTCTAAATTCTGCATAGAGGTTAGCAAGACTCTTTATTGAGATGACTGGTGAGACTGAGGAACAGGAGTTAAAACAGAAATTCTGGCTAGATGTAAGAGTGACTATGGACATAACTAAACTGAAAGAGTTTTTTGGATTCATCCTTGAATGTTTTCAAGACCAGACCGGGTAAAGCCTAGAATGATGAGCTAGTCTGAGATAACAGCTGACCCTGCTTTGAACAGGAGATTGGACAAGAGATATACAGAAATGTCCAGCTTGAGTGATGCTATGATTCTGTGGACTTACTAAACTTAAAGCACACAGCACTCATATGCAGCAGCTTAAGACCATTAATTCACTTACTTTAACTTTCCTTAGTATTTCCTGATAGCCAAGTCTAAACAATTATTGTAAGAATACACTCTACCATTTTGCAGTTAGCAAACCTTTATTATTTTGTTTTCAATAAGCTGAGAGTACACAAAGACAGCAGCATGATGTTGATATAAGGGCAGTTTTTATATCTGTTACTTAATTTGTCCTTCAGGAATGTTATCTAGGCCATCCTAGATAGGCCTTCCTATCAATGGGACACAGAGCTGTAAAGATGTGATAATACTATCAGCTTATGTTAGAAAGTTAGAAGGCAATTCAGGAGAACTAGAGATTTCTATTTCAGATAGTGTTTGTTAGTTAGCAAAGAATGAAAATGTTGTAGACTAGATAATAAAAACCATCCAATTAGAAGCCTGCATATCAAAGATGCTGAGCTCCTGCAGTTCCCTGGAATTGGAGCTGCTGCCTAGCTCTGAAAATGAAACATATTTCTAAATTGTGTTAACACACATGAAATATCAATGCGATATTAAACTTCATCTAAATTATATAACTCTACCTACAGCACTGCTTACTTTTTTTTGTGGAGTTCTTTGGTATTTTACACTCAGTAGATACTAAAGCAAATGTGATTAGAAAGTATTTAGAATCTCTTGAATTTACATAGTTTTTATTTATCATCTATCATATGAATCCAGCTGGTAGGAAATAGGCACACACAAAGGCATATAGACTAAAAGTTGCAGGAATAAAAATTTTTGACCATAACTTATATCTGTTGACAAATATTCTTCATTGGAATATTGTATTTGTCAGCTACAGTCCACTGAAATATTTCTGTAAAAATACCCAGCAATAATTCCTTTTTTGGTATTAAAATGTCTTTTCCATTTCATGAGATTCCATGAGGTATTTTATAAGGTCTTATTTTTGGGTTTTTGTTTTATTTTATTTTTAAATTCCCTTGGCTCTCCAAATTGCTCAGATTGTGTAACATTTTTTTAATTGTTACAAACACTGGCTGGCAGAAGTTTGAAAGGTTATAGAAAGCAAGTATATGTCTTAGGTAAGCATAAAGATTATAATTATTATTTTTTTTTAATATGGGTCATTTGCTGTATGATCTTCTGAAACTTTCTGCATAAACCTGAAATTCAAAATTATTAAGCTAATCTCAGTAACAGGTATGATTTAAATTAACACAAAACCATTAAATGCTTTTTGTCCTCTGACACTGCTTAATTATGTATGAACAAAGTTAATATTTCACTAGTCACAGGAAAAATAGTAATTGTTCCAGAAGCAGTGGAAAATTTCCCACTGTTTTTTTTTTTTTTTTTTTTTTTTTTTCTTTAATAGGATTTAAGTTTTAGCAGCAAAGCAGATGTTTGAGGCGGTGATAACTGTTCATATTTTTACATCTTCGAGTGCCTAATTTTCTTTGTTTTTTATTTGCCAGGGGCAATACTAAAAATTACTTTGCCTTTGTTAATTTTATTATTGTCCAAACAGATGAGGAATATAACTGAATCCAACCAGTTCAGGTTTTCAACAATGTGGTCTTCATCGAAGAGTTCTTCCCCCTTCCTCCCTCCCTGCAAGCAGTGAACATTATAACTGATAAGTCATCAAATCAGTGAAAGCCTTCAAGCAAGAGGCATAACTGTGAATTTCAGGAAAGATGAGTTGAGATGCAACAGACTGAGATCAGTCCTGTAGTTCAGTTCATCCTTGGGAGCAGTGTAAATGAGGTGCCAAAGGCATCACAAGTTCTGTGTGGAACACTGTACTGAGTCTGCATATCTGCCAATCCTATGATGTAAACCTCAGTACTTTCAGACTTTCTATGCTACACTTGCTATCATAACCTGGGGGATCTTAATACATGAAAGTATCAGAGTTACTGGTCATATCTCAAAAGCTGCAACAGTTTAAACCACTATTTGTTCAGTGAAATTATTTAGAGACAGAATAGGCCATATAAATGGCATTGTGACAAGGTGCCTGCCATGCAATGAAAATCACACTTCTGAGCTGAGCACAAGTGAAATGTGTGTGAAGTAGAGTGCTTGGTGTGCTTCCTGGTAGGGACATAAGGACGTGAAGCAAGAAGGAGCAACCATCCTCCTTTATTGAAGTTCTTTTTCCTTCCTACTCTGGATTCCCAAAACCGAATCATTCCTTTCTCACAGAAAAATTAACAAGCATGTGCTGTTGTAAGAGTGACTAGGAAACTTGTTTCATACTCCATGCTTACACATCTTAGTGCCTGATCCAGAGCTAGAACTCAAACCCTGAAACTGGGGCAGGTATGTCTGCACTGTTATTGTCACAATGAAATTAAGCAATGATTAGTCTGTGTGATACAAGCTATAATGTGACAGCCATCTGAATTTTCCTTTGCATTTTCCTGTAGCAGTGAGCTGAAAATTTCTGTCTCCTATCTAAAAAATAGTATATTTTTAATCAGAAAGTCATATCACTTGTTGATTTATATGTTAAATTTTCATTCAGAAAGTCCTAATAAAATTTAGAGTATGTAATTTTTAGTGCAAGGTTATGCTGTAAATTATCTAAAATTTCACAACCAGAAAATTTGCAGACAAAATTTTCATAAAAAACATGTATAGTCTGCATTAATTCTTGAACTATGTGTTGAGTATGCAAAATGAAAATGAGTGAGTGAGCATACCTGATGTGAGCAGAGAGAAATGGTTATTTTAGCTTTATTTAATGTTGCAGTGTAAACATGGAACTAATTTTTGAAGTGAAGTTGTAGGTTTAATCATACAGAGAAGACTTTGGCCTCATGAATGCTTCCTGAGCTCATAAATACACTTATTCCGTAGGGACATGTGATGCTTACATAAAATGAATGGGAGAAGCATGGTAAAACATTTTAGATTGTAAAACCAACTAGAAACAAGAACAAAATGTAGGGATAAATGTTATGCAAGGAACTGGGGCTATGTAAATTAAAGGAAGAAAAGGAAGATAAAATGTAAGACAAGCAGAACATGAAAACAAAATCAAAATGTAGTTTTAAACAAGTTTTTGCCATCAATATAAGAGTTTGACGGTATCAGTCTCTCATGTTTCACCATGATAATGTCTCTTGCTGGTAAGTTTATGATTCTGGGATTTTTTTTTTTAAATACAGAATTTATTTATTTATTCATTCCATACACCAAATGAACATAGACTAGGAAATCACGTGCTAGCTTGTGCTCCGAGGTTTGAGAAATCTAATTTGAGGGAAATAATCCAGGGGAATCAAAATCTCATGCTGCCAGGTTAAAGCTGTGAATATCTCCTCCTTGATGGTATTCACACAGGAATCAAGGTAAATGTGTAGAGGGCATGGTGGAAATCTTTGACATGCTACTGGCTACTGCTGCTCGATTTCGGATGATGAACCTTCAAGGGGAAGAATTTGTATGCCTTAAGTCCATCATCCTGCTCAATTCTGGTAAGTGGTGTGCTTTGCTGTCACTTGGGTAATTGTAATTGTTCTGCATGTGGTTTGAGTGCTGCCTGCTTCTTGTCTCTGGTGGTTTTTCCATTTTGAGGCAGCAGCAACTGAAAGGGTTGTCAAGACAGAGAAGGAACAGTGAAATGCATGGAACCCAGCAAATCAACACCTTCAGAGGTTGGTTCACTGAGTGCAGCTGGTGTGGAGGATGACTGGGGCCGATGGGTGTTGAACAAGACACTGGAGATCTTGTTAAAGTCCTCATCACAATGAACTGAGGTATCTGGATCCATGCTTCGGGCATCCAGAGACAATACATGGTTATAAATCAGGGCCTACACTTCTTTTTTTCTTTTTCTTTTTCTTTTTCTTTTTCTTTTTCTTTTTCTTTTTCTTTTTCTTTTTCTTTTTCTTTTTCTTTTTCTTTTTCTTTTTCTTTTTCTTTTTCTTTTTCTTTTTCTTTTTCTTTTTCTTTTTCTTTTTCTTTTTCTTTTTCTTTTTCTTTTTCTTTTTCTTTTTCTTTTTCTTTTTCTTTTTCTCTTTTTCTTTTCCTTTTTCCAAAATAAAGGAAAATAGTGGCAAAGATGCTGCTGTTTATCATTATATAGTTTATATTAATAAACTGTCATCTAAAACCTATGCTATCACCTTACCCTCCATATTTGATGAAACGTATTTTTAGACTGTAAACCTCAAGTAGATAAAGTAGATAACATGTTTAGCTATAGATATAAATATCTAATATCTGGATTGAATTCTTTGTTACCTTGTAGAAATAGACATCCACAAGTTGAGGCAGAAAGTTTCTGTTGCACAACAGAGGTTTTAATTTTTTTAATTTTTTTTATTTGTCAAATTCTTGGACATCCGTTAGTTTCATCACATGAGGCAGTGCTGCTTATTGCTTTTGTTGGACAATTATTTTCTCATTTTTTTGCAATGTCTTTCAAGGCTGTTTAATATCTTTCTGCTGCTTTTCTATGTGGTCTTCTTAGCAATACTTTTTTTTTAGTCTCAGTTTGTGTAGAAAAGATGGAAAGTTTTGTTTATAAAGCAAAATATACATTTATGCTACTGACAAATTTTTCCTAAGATATCAAGGAGACAGCATGTCTGTAACAACAAGGACAGCACTGTCTTCAGCTAAATAACAAAACAGAGTGTGCTTCTCTAAAGCTACAGCAATAAGTTGTCCAACTAAAAAGCAAAGCACAGTCAGTTCACTGAATACATAGAATACTGTTTCTTAAGATTGGAAAATAAGCACCAGAAACGTAAAAGGGAAACATGATGCCAGATGTTTTATGTTTGAGTGGATCTGAAAAGAGGAGTGGTGCTATGTGGGACAAAGCAGAGGTTTTCATTTTGCAGGCACGGATGTAGCTCACATCTTCCTTAGCAGATGATTTACCTAGCTGATACTTTTGCGGAGATGAAAAGACTTAGCTGATTTCAGTCATCCTGTAGGCCTCCTTGATGCATCACTCCATCTGACTTGGTCTTTTGATTTTTCTTTCTCCTGTTGAATTGTGCTTTTAATCAATTTCTTTATTTTGAGGACTGGAGAATTGCATAAGTGCATGGCACAGAGCTGAATTTGCTCTTAGCTCAGACTGCCTTGCTTCAGATAAAAACCAATGGGCTTGGTGGAAGAGGAAGAAGATCCTTGTTTTTTTTTTTTTGTGATAGTGAACACTAAATGTAAAAAAAGTTTAAACTGAGGTTTATTGTGACAGAAAAGATGTAGAAGACATTCCATTCTGCACATCCAATAATATGTCAGATTATATAGCAATATTTATATACCTATACTTTGATACGTATGCCGACAGCTGTCACAGTAACCTTGCTGTCCCTGGGAGAAACCATGGTGTGGATATCTTTGTATTTGGGCACAACCTGTTAGGCTTAGCTTGTTTGCAGGGCCCTGCTAGCTCTATTCTGTCTCCTATAATGTTTTACAATACTGATATATAGCTGGAAAACCACCTGGTGGATATTCAATCCTGCTTTTGGCTTTCTTTCTGCTTCAGAGCTTGGAAAGACCATTGAGATTGTTAAATTTCACTTTGTGAAGACAATTTTTCTGCACTCTTGTTCCAAAGCTCTGCTTCTGTGTGTATGCCTGTGTGTGATGGATAGCTGGTACATCTTTTGGGGAAATTTCTCATCGCTGGCCTGAGGCAGGAGAAATCACCAGGGGCAGAAAAGAAAACTGATCTTCATTTTTCTTTGCTGTTATTGACTGGCATTTGCCTGAGGTCTCTACATTTTTTTTGGGAGAGGGTTGGTTTTTTTTCGTTTTTTTTTTCTTGATTTATATTTTTTAATAGCTTCTGGGCCAGACCTAGGTGCGAAACGTTTATGCCTGACAGATTTTTTGCTTTTGCTGATTTTAAATCTATGAAAGTAAAGGGTGTTGCTACAAGTACAAAATAGCATCCACTGACTGAAGAAAACTGCTTTGGAAGCACTGGGGATTTATGAGGATAATGTTTCCTTTATCAGTCATTTATAAGTATCTTGCCCCTACAGGAAATCTCTGATCTATAAACCTCATATCATCAGTAGACAGTGATGTGAGGGTGGCTAATTTTCATCCAAGTGAGAAAAGCCCCAAGAACTCTTCCTTTCTGGGGAATTTGTTTCAGTACAAATATTATTCATTAAAAGGTTTGTGAGAAAAGAGGCCGTTGCACTGTCTGTATCAAATTCAAAGCAACAATCACTACAAAACTAAAGAAGTCTTACTACTGGTTTCCAGAAGCTGTTCTGTATTTCAGTTATCCTCTTGTTTTGTTTTTGTTTTTGAAGTCTTAATCTCTCTCTCTCTCTCTCACACACACACACATACACACGTACACATACACTAGCACTCACAAGTTTTTGTTTCTTTTTAGAACAGAAAGTCCAGCATCATAAAATCCACTTGCAGCTTACAGTAGTTCTAAGTACTAGGTCCTTGGTGTAGTGACATGATATAAGAAGGTGAGGTACATCAAGAAAATAGTAAAGAAATTGTACTTTGACTGCTCTGATACATGGATGGGTATGCTTATTTTCAATTCTGACAGTACAACCTCCAGCTACAAACAATACAAATAAATTAGTGTACATATATGTTTGTATATGTATGAATCTTACTGCTTTTCTTCTTAATATCTCTAACTGCATTGTGTGTTTTTCTATATATGATGCTTTAAAGAAAAGCTAAATGAAAGACTGTTTCATGAACCATTTTTTTCCAAAGACAATACAGAGTTTCTACTTGGCTCTGTACGCTGATGCATACGATATGAAGCACAGGATTTGTCAAGTACTTTACAGATAAATGAAGTCACCAGGACCATGTTTATTGGTATCAACATATGTACTTAAGCCTTTGATAATTCGAGGCTGTATGCTAGTGATGTGATCTATCTGGAGTTATTAGGTCAATCCAGAAGATTTAAGAAACTGGTGCTGAGGGCAACAGCTGTCCTTTGACATGCTTTGCATTGTCTGTCCATTGTCACCCAGAACAAAATTAAGGTAAAAAATGTGTGGATTAGTAGAGAACTTCCTAGTTAGAAATCTGATATGCTACGTGCACTGAAGAGGTGGAAGTTCAAGTGTTTTCTAGATGTTCCAGGGGCTGTTGGAGAACTAGTCTCAGTCAGTTTGATGTCCATTTTAGATTTCCTTCTGGTCCAGATCTTCAGGTCGCTTACTTTCAGACAGAAAAGAAAGACAGCTGTATTGAAACAGGTTGCCTTTCAAAGCTCTTGTTTGCTTTGGAAGATCTTATTGAGGCGAGTGCTTGTAAACAAAGCCTTTTGTTTGCATGTGTTGCAGTAACATATTGTTCAGTCCTAGATTGCCTAGCAAGCCACCAGAATTCAAGCATTAAACAGCAGAGAAATTAGCAAACACTGCTGTCAGCCTGGGCTAGGTCAGTAAGTTCTGCAGAGCGCTCAAGTGGCAGCAGCATCTCTTCAAGGTTTTGGGGCTGAATGACTGAGAGAAGAGAGCAGTTCAAGGTCAGGTCTGGCTGCAGAGTAGAAGTGAACCATGCCACCTCCACCAGCTTGGGGGGCACAGGGTGAGGAAGAGGCATCGTCTTTGTCTTCCTGCTCTAATTGCAGTGGCTGGGTGGGATTAAGTTGTTCTTCCCATGTCTATGAAGTGATTATTTTCCTTATTCACCTCTTTAATCAAAATGACTAATTTTGTGGATGGGCTCCTAGACAATGCTGCCATTTCCCAGCAGTCCTTTCTAGAAGGACTTTCTAGAAGGATTGCTTTATTTTTTTTTCCCCATGCTTTTCCGAGCCACTCCTTCCTCTGTCCTGACTGTCCCCACATCCTTCCCAGCTGTCGAGAGATTAGAACTTGATATGCAGTGTGGCCTTAAAAAGCAGGGTGCTCACAGGAAGCTTCTGTGGCTTCACACAGCCAAAGAGGCCACCATTAATCATATGGGGAATAAGTCTGACTATCAAAGTAATTTTTTCTCTGGTTTTCTTTCTCCTTCCTACTCCAGGTGTGTACACTTTTCTTTCCAGCACCTTGAAATCTCTAGAAGAGAGAGACTATATCCACCGTGTTCTGGACAAAATCACAGATACCCTGATACACTTAATGGCAAAGTCAGGTCTTTCTCTGCAGCAGCAGCACCGGCGACTGGCTCAGCTCCTCCTCATCCTCTCTCACATCAGGCATATGAGGTAGGAGCAAGCATATGGTCAGGTGCAAGCAGAAAGTTTCACAAATGTATACATGTGCTTGGACTTCACTCAGTGTGTGTGGTAAATCACTTTCCTCTTTCCATAAAAATAGATGGATCTGCAAAACAGTACTATGAATTATTGTGTGAAAGGAGTAAACATTTTCTCCTTTTCTCTTTTTTCTTTTCCTTCTAGTTTTGATAATGCCATAAGCACTGTCTGCTTTTAATACTACGTCTTGCTATTCTTTTTGGGAGATAGGCAATGCATGAAAAATAATGTAATAGCAGTCTAGTTCTACGAACTCTAGTCTCCTGTAAGATAAGATTTAATAAAAATCTCACTTTTAAATAGACACCTCTCACAAGTGGCTTGATTGCAAATCATTTTAGAATAGAAATTATTGTCATTATATGTATATTATGGAGGAAGATTAAAGCAGATCTCCTGAGTCCCAATCTAGAGCACTTGTTAATTAGTGGTGAAGGGCCTTAGGCATGCGGTTTGTTGCTAGTTTCAGCAGTGATTCTCCCTTACATAATTACCTCTGAAGTTAGCTGCTCACTAGCTGGGGTGTCTGCAGCATGAAAAGCCTAGGCAAAGATGCATCAAGATTTTGTTTTTTAACGAAATATAGAGGCATTGCTGTTATCTAGATTTTAATTTTCAAGACCACATTTAATAAAATTAAAATCAAAATAAGCATCACACAGTACTAAAGATCCCAGAGCTGAAAAATGCAGATTTAACATCAAGGTATGTTTTTTCATGTGTGTATTTTAAGGAGTTTCACTGCCTTTGTATTAGTAACCATGCTGATGTTTATTTTCTTAATAGTTTGGTAGACCAAGAAAGTTTCAGATGCACAGAGATTTACTATTTCTGTAGCTTTGCAAATGGATACTATTACAAGAGGGCGTTTGCTAACAAATTGTCTAAAAGTTTATTTTCTAAGGAAAAAAATCTAATATTTTAGGTTTAACTATAGGAAAGCCAAGATTCATCCCATCCACTTAATCAAAATGCAGAAAATAGGGGTCTATTTGCTCTAAGTCACCATTTAGGCAAAGGAGAGAAAAATGTCTTCTGCAAACTGTAGTAGCGTGCAACAACTGTACTGTTAAGTTTGTTGCTTTGTACAGGGTGGAATTTGAGTGAACTGAACAAAGATTAGCTGATAGCTTTTTTTCATAGTACATTTGGAAAATAACTGCTGTTTTGTTTAAACCCACAGCAACAAAGGAATGGAGCACCTGTACAATATGAAGTGTAAAAATGTAGTTCCACTCTATGACCTCTTACTGGAGATGCTGGACGCTCACCGCCTACACGCACCGGCAGCCCGGAGTGCTGCACCAGTGGAAGAGGAGAACCAAAGCCTGCTGACAGCTGCACCAGCTTCATCTCATTCCCTGCAGTCCTTTTACATTAACAGCAAAGAAGAGGAGAGTATGCAGAATACAATATAAACAAAAGTCAGCGTATGTAATGGTATGAGAAACCCAGCAGCGTACTACATAGCTCATGCTTCATGTCATCTATGGAGCCACATATGTCAACACTCCAGTGACATCAGCCACCTGTATTTTCCATTTGAGTGTTTGTCAAGCACTTGCCTAAATTGATTCTTATTCTAAATGAAAGACATTTCATTACTATGGACAGCTAGCAAGGACTGTTAGGCTAACTTAATTTGAAATTTGCAGTGTTTTAGTCTACTTTTGAATGTGTGTTGGCTAAGTCCTAATATAAGCTGTAACATTTGTTTTGCCATAAATTAATAGGCCATAACACCCATGCATACTTGTATCTTCCCGAGTGGGAGCCTTTCTTGGTATCCACCCCAAATTCTGCACCCTTTTAGTCCTTGAGTTGCCTGAAACTTTGAAGCAGTTTGGTTGATTCTGCATGAGTTTTTGTGAGGGATAACAGGAAGCTGATTGGCATCTTAGTTGCCACAGTGAAACTACACTGCTAGTGAATTGCTTTGATAGTTTGGTTAGATTTCTGCCTCCTTTCTTCCTCAATTGGAAGAAGACTCTTTGTATGGAAAAAATACTGTTTTGCAGACAGCTTCTTTTCAAGATCATAGTGACCAAACTTTTAGATCCTCTTATCCTTGCCCTTAGCTAAATTACATTGTGTGCATCCTGTCTTGTCTGATCCTAGGAAATACAATTCTGTTGCTTGGCTGTATATAAACCATGGGCAATATGGCAAGCAGAGATAACATGGATAATTGCTCTCAAATCAGACCAGGTGATCACAGAAATCATCATGCCTGGAAAACAAAACCAAAATTCCATGCCTTCTAATACATACACAAACCAAAGCTATTTTATGAAATATCTTTCCCTCTCATTTGCTTTCTTGTGCTACAAACCAAGAGATGAGGATACCTGTGCAAGACTGGCATAGCAAGGTGAGATGATCGCATTCATGGCAGTCTTGCCTAACAAGACTGGGGAGGGTTTCGATCAGAGCCAGTGCAAACAGGTTTTGCACTATCTATCTTGCTTTTCTTCAGCTCTCACTGGGGCAACCTCAAAGGTCACTGTTAATATCCACCTTGTTTGTGGCACCAGAACTGGGCAGTGTGTCTCAGACATGGTGAAGACTTCAAAACTGCACATCCAGGGTGCATCTGGCTTTCTCCATACATGTATGTAATCATTTTTCATGCAAGTTAGTTGGATTCTGCAGATCAACCATAAATATACAAAAGGTCCACTGACAGTAGGAATTTCAGCAGCTTATAAAGGAGAGACACTGAAGAAAAAGACCAACTTATCTGTTGTATAAACTGACCAAAATGGTCATTTGTGCTGCTGTTGAACTGCCTTTAATGCTAGAAAATCAAAGATCACAGAATGTTGCTGGGTACTGGAATCTTATTATTATATTTTGCAGGGATGCTTTATCTGTTTAAAGACAACCTTTGTCTGTGCTACCTGCACACTTGTTTTTCATGTGCAATTTGGGAGTTAGCCCAGACCAGGGACTATTTCAGTAGCTGGTTGGAAATGACCACCTGTAAGTAAGGAAGTTCAATAGAACATGTATAGGCTGCTTCTTAGCAGCTGGCCACAGTGCCATAGGAGGGTTTGGGGATGCTTCTTTTAACTTTTATGTTAGGTCATGCTAATTGTAATATCCTATGACTAAATATAGGAAATAATGCAACCAATGCGGTACAGGAGTTCCTATGTCTAACCATGCTCACTGTTAGACAAGCAATGTCTTTGTTCAGTGAGTTCCAGTTACAAAGCAATTGTGAAGAAAGCAAGGCATAGGATGAGTTTGTGCTCTGCATCAAGGATCCAATTCTTTAGTGGATGTACATAATATTGTCCATAACAGTCTCATGTACATACCTGAGGATACGCACAGTTTAGAAATCTAATGATATATGCTACTTACGTGTTGGAGAAGATTCCTTGAAAACTGTGCAAACCTGAATGTGTGAAGCAGTCACTGTAAGTATATAGGCCTTTTATCGATGAGTATTATAGTGTCTTTTTTTTTTCCTAACATGCTAAAGGAGTTGTATTTTTGTGTATTCATTAAGAGTATGTATGTGTGCATATGTGCAAATTTGGTACCTAAGGGCATTTGGAAGGTTTTAAAATGCTTTGAAAGAAAATGCACATTTTGTCACAATTAGTAGATGGTTTTTGAACATGCTGGAAACATTATGAATGCCCTCATATGAGTGCAGGTTAAGATTTGAGTGGAACACAGGAATTCTTGTAGACACACTTCTGTACTTACACATCATTATTTACTTGCAGCCTTGTGCTACAAGATTTCAGTGCTCTATGTGCAGCTTGTGTGTTCTATATGACAAGCCACAAACATCAAGCTTGTGGCTCAGCAGATGCTAAGCAAGTTGTTTTAAATAAATGTCTCCCCTCCTACATTCCCCAAAATGCATTGCATCAAAATCAAATGTAAATCTGGCCTAGAAGAAGAAAATAGTTGATGGAAAACAATTCACAAAATAGTGCCAGATTCTGATGATTCTCCGTAGGTTAAGTACCGTTGATCTCTACAGATTGTCCCAGCGAAATTGGGCAAATGTGATTTGAAGTGGTATGCAGCATATTGAAGGGTATCAAATTGTGGCCCATAACATGGGAAATAATCTGTCAGTTCACAGTCATAATTACAAATGCTCTCCTAGGCTCAGTCCTGGCAGTGAAATCATTTAGAGTCAATTCGTCCTCCCACACCTGTGGTGACAACTGTTAAGGGCACCCAAAAAACAAAAACAGTGATTTCCAGTTATGCTTTTACTTAGCTTGGGGCAGTCTCAGGACCCGTGTCTTTAACTGTTGATGATCTTTTATTTGAAGCAGCACCTTAATGAATATAGTAAACCTTTGATGGTAATGAGTAACGAGTATAGTAAACCTTCACACAGTTATCTGAAAAGACAATTGTTCTCATATCAGACTGTTGAATGTAGCTAGTCAATAAATTAAAGTCTATTATATAAAAGTGGTAGCTTTTTCATATGGAATTCCAAATTATGCTCTTATGTATGCAGACAATTGTGCCTGACATTCAATAATTTCACAGGATGGTATTTTACATGTGTATATATATATATCTCTATATATACATATATGCTTTGTATTTGCAGCTGACAAGCCAGTACTATCTTGAATACCTGGTGCTGGATATTAAACAAAAATATGTATAGCATGTTTAAAAAAAAAAAAAAAGAAAAAGAATTTAAAGAAAGCTACTCAAGGCAGCTAATAATGCTTTTACCAAAATGTTCATAGAGATGTCTCTTGACAGCTAATGAAATAATTATTTTATAATGTTTATATGTGGATTAAAAAAAAAAAACAACACAAAAAACAAAACAACAAAAAAAAAAACAGACAGAAAACAAACAAACAAAAAAAACAACCAAACACCTAGAATCATAGGCAATGTAATACCAGCATAAGCCAGAAATAGACCCAATGAACCAGCTTTGCTTGAGAATATGATTGTTGTTCCTGAAATATTACCAAAAACTATGGAGGCATAGAGTAATGTGTAGCACCCAGTGGAGACTGATTTTCCAACAATATGTAAAAGCTACTCTGGTTTGTAATGGTTCGAGCCGTGTCTCGATCTTGCAGACTTTGTCTCAGGTAAAACTGTCAGTTGGGGCAGTAGAATTTGTACTGGGGTAAATTATTTTAGTGAGGGTTTCTTGGTGCGTGTTTGTGATAAATTTACTATTGTGTTTCAGTGATATTTTGAATATTTTTTTCTCCTGTACACTAAGGTGTTTAATAGTTTAACATTATATTAACTAAAGTAAAAAAGAACTGAGCTCCCAAGGATATTGCAAGGACTGTTCAGCAAATTGCTGCAATTTAAACTGAAAAAAAAAAAAATAAAATGAAGAGATAAAACCTCGACCCTTTCAGATCATCCCAAAAACCAGGTTTTTAGTGGAGCTTTTCTCTGTCCCAGCTAAGGCTGACTGATTCCTTAGGAGCTGAGCCAAATGTTTAAAATTAAACAAACTACCAGCAATGTAAAAATTCTGCCTCACTATGGTCTGAGTCTTACTACAGGCTTTGGTAGGAATACAACAAGCCTGTCTTTTATATATATCCTGCTTTAAAACTAGAATGCAACACAACCTAATGGGGTTTTGTATATAAGGCATTCTCAGCTGAACTTATGCAAAATGAGTTTCTTTCTCTGAATGAAGGGATGGCCTTTTACAATGCTACTTACAGCTGCAGTATAGCTTTACAGATGATGTAAATTCGGCACATGTGAAGGAACAGTTATGTAAACAATCATATCGTAATATGAACCAGACTTTGCTGCCACTTGCAACTATAGCATAATCTCAAATTGATCTGAGAATTGACATTAATATCCTGCTTTTTCTACTTGCAATATCTTTCATCTTTCAAATGTAAATAGCCTTACTTTATTTTGCACTGTGTTTAAAAAATAAAAAGCTAAAAAAATAAAAAACTTTTGCATTCAAATGTGCCTAAAAAAAAATTAAAATAATAATTAAAAAAAGTATATGCTGCCATCTTGCAAATTAGTTGCTCTCTACTCCTGTGTGCCTATAATTAGAAGGCTGTTTCTTTAGAAAGTGCCCACTGGAAAATGAAGAGATAGACTGCTACTCTTGAGACTTTCATTAACAAGCCACTTTATGTATCACCTTATTGTATATACTATAAAACTGATGCTTTTGTGTGCACTATGTAGTCTTTCAATGGAAAGTCCTTTATTTGGTATAGACTCAGCTGCCATAATGTATTTGTTGAAGTATTCTGTTCTTTCACTGATGCATATAAAATTATTCATGTCTTTGTTTTGGTGAGTTTTATTTCTTTGTTTTGCACCTAAATGTTCTGAACAGTCTAAATGAAAAATCTGATAGGCTACCCAGTTGGTGCAAGATTTTTATCGATGTATTTGATGTTGAAATAAATAATTAACCAGAGCAATTTATTTAATTTGTTATCTTTTGCATGGTTAAAAAAAAAAAAGTTTTTTTTTCCTAATTTTATTTTTTCTCCCCAGAATTACAGGGTTGAGAGCTTATGGGTCAGAATAAAAGCGAAGGCCAATAAGACTGATATTACCATGGGAGTCTGCTACAGGCCACCCAACCAGGATGAAGAGGTGGACAAGATGCCTTATGGACAGTTGAGTGAGGTCTCAAGGTCTCTCCCCCTTGTTCTTCTGGGGAACTTCTCAGACATCTGCTGGATTTATAATCAGTCCTGAAGGTTCCTAGAGTGTGTGGGAGATAACTTCCTGACAGCTGGTAAAGGAGCCAACAAGGAGAAACAAAATCCTGGACCCGCTGTTTGTTAACAGACAAGGTCTTGCGGGGGAAGTAAAGGTTGGAAGCTGTCTGGGGCATAATGATCATGAGATGCTAGAATTCTCGGTCCTTGTTGAACCATAGAGGGGAGTCAGCAGAACTGTCACCTTGGACTTCCAGAGGGCAAACTTTAACCTCTTTAGGACCATGGTTGAGAGGGTCCCGTGAGAGGTAGTTTTGGAGACATTGGGAGCCCAGGAAGGCTGGGAATACTTTAAGGAAGTTAATTTAAAGGTGCAGAAGCTGACCATCCCCAAGTCACAGGCCGATGGGCAAGGAGTTCGGACTGGCTGATGGGAGATTTTTGGCTGGAACTCGAGAACAAAAGGAAAGTTTATGGTCTCTGGAAGAGTGGGCAAGCTACTTATGATGATTATAGGTACATAGTGAAGCTGTGTAGGGAGAAAATTAGAAAAGCCAAAGCCCAGCTAGAACTGAACTTGTCCACTAAGGTAAAGGACAACAATAAGTATTTCTATAAATGCATCAACAGCAAGAGAAGGGCTATGGAGAATCTTCATCCCTTGTTGGACAGCAAAGGCAACTTGGTGACCAAGGATCAGGATAAGGCTGAGGTACTTTATGCTTTCTTTGCCTCAGTCTTTAATAGTAAGTCTTGTTACTACCTGTGAACACAGGCCCCTGTGCTAGTAGGTAGGGATGGGGAACAGAGTAGGCCCTGCGTGATCCATGATGAGATGGTTTTGGACCTGCTCTGAAGTCTATAGGGCTGGATGGATTGCACCCTAGAGTGCTGAGGGAGTTGGCGGGTGCGGTTGCCAAGCCTCTCTCCATCATTCTTCAGCAGTTCTGGCTAATGGAGGATGTCCCTGTGGACTGGAGACTTGCAAATATGATGCCCATCATCAAAATGGGCTGGAAAGATGATCCTGGTAGCTACAGACCTATCAGTCTTACCTCGGTGTGGGGAAGGTTATGGAACGGATAACCTCGGGAGCCATCATGGACCAGTTAAAAGTGAACCAGGGGATCAGTCTCAGTCAGCAAATGGGTTTACAAATGGTAGATCCTGTCTGATAAACCTGATTTCAATCTATGACAAGGTGACCCACTTAGTGGATTAAAGTAAGGCTGTCAATGTGATCTACGTGGACTTCAGTAAAACCTTTCGCACTGTTCCCCACAACATTCTGATGCTGAAGCTGGCTACCCACATTTTGGATGGGTGTATGCTCTGATGGGTGAAATACTGGCTGGATGGCTGGGCCTAAAGGGTTTTGGTCAATTAAATCCAGTTGGTGACTGGTTATTAGTGGCACCCCCCAGGGCTTGGTACTGGGTCTGCTTCTATTTAGCATCCTTATTAACATTCTTGATGAGGGGATTGAGTGCACCCTCAGTCAGTTTGCAGACAATAAGCTGGGAGGGAGTCTTGATCTGCCTGAGGGGAGGAAGGCACTACAGAGGGACCTGGATTAATTGGACTGATGGGCCAAGGTCAACTGTATGAGTTTCAGTAGGGCCAAGTGTTGGGTCCTGCATTTTGGTCACAACTCCAGGCAACCCTACAGGCTTGAGGAAAGATGCCTGATGGAAAGAGACCTTGGTGTACTGATGGACAGTCAGCTGAATATGAGACAGCAGTGTGCCAGGTAGCCAAGAAGGCCAATGGATCCTGGCTAGTATCAAGGATGGTGTGGAGAGCAGGTCTAGGGAAGTAATCTTGCCCCTGTACTTGGCATTGGTGAGGCCTCTGTACAGAAAGGACACTGAGGTGCTGGAGCAGGTTCGAAGAAAGGCAACAAGGCTTGTGAAGGGCTTGGAGAATATCCCTACGAGCAGAGACTGAAGGAACTGGGGCTGTTCAGCATGGGGAAAAGGAGACTGAGGGGAGACTTTATTGCTCTCTTTCAAGGGTTGTTAGGGTATGGTTATGTCATGGTTGGACTTGATGATCTTTAAGATCTTTTCCAATCTGAGCAGTTCTATGCTTAGAGTCTGGCCATAACTAGAATTAGTCCTGGTCTCTACTATTACTGATAACACTAGTTACAAAAGAACAAAACAAAAGAAGTCACTGTCACAGTACTGCACATATTTTAATGTGGACCTGTTAAGACAACAAAAGTGATTACTGGATTAGAACACCTTTGCAATGAGGAAAGGCTGATAAGAGTTGAGGTTGGTCAGAGAAGGCTCAAGGGATGTCTTATAATGGCCTTTCAGCACATAAAAAGGCCCAAAAGAAAGCTGGAGACAAACTTTATCAGTGAGTGTAGTGATATAGCAAGGGGTAATGGTTTTAAAGTAAAAGAGGGGAAATTCAGATCAGATATTAGAAGGAAGTTCTTTATCCAGAGGGCAGTGGGGCACTGGAGCAGTTTTCCCAGAGAAGCTGTGTATGCTTCATCTCCAGAATTGTTTAAGGCCAGGTTTGTTGGGGCACGTGGCAGTCTGATCTAGCGGGTGACAATGCTGCCGGTAGAAAGAGAGCTGGAACTGGACAGTTTTTAAAGTTCTTTCCAACCCAGTCCATTGTAAAATTCTATGATTTGATGTTTTACATTCCTTATTTTGTCTTGTGAAATAGATTATGGTAGACTATGGCAAGAGTAAACAAGTTATGGGAATGTAGCCAACTGCCACTTAGCGTCATTTAGCTAATGTGAAATAAGATAGCATGTCTTTCCCAAGTGAAGTCTACTCCTCAGGATAAAAGGTGTCTTATCTAAGCTGTGAGAAAGGAAGTTGTCCTGTTTTTTATCAGTATTCCATTGCATGACATCATGCAGCAAGCTGTTTTATTGATGGAACACAGTGCCAGTAAGCTGCATTTCCTTGGTCAGCCCCTGGCAGTGTCAGTTTACACAAGTTCCCGCTTTCTGAGAATGTATACTGCGAAGAGACAAACTGTCTCCAGAAAACTCCAGCACTCCCTATGTGATTTCTGATTCCAGGTGAAAGAGGTAGAATACCATAGAGACAAAGGAGAAGACTTCTCTTCTGTTTCCAGTAGTGCAGTGAGCAACACCATCAGAACCTCTCTCTCACATTTGTGCAGTTTATTACCTTTTTATCATTTTTAGTAAATTAGTTACATCTCCTTATCTTGGTTGCATCCCTCATACTTCTTTCCCTCCCTAGCAGAAGAGGGAAAGGTGGATAAGGGGAAGCCCTTCTGCAGGTAATAGAATCAACTAAACTATAACAGAAGTGAATATAAATGAAAGACATCTTTAATGACACAAAAACTCTCTGAAATTAACCTTACCCTGTACATTAATCTCAGAATTATATTGGGTCTTTGCAAAGAACCAAGTCACTAATTGACAGCATTTACATACTTATTGAGGCATATCAATACTTATATATATATCTATCAATATTATAGAGGGTATACAGCTTCTATATTGACTTTTTTTTCCATCTGTTTTCTGTTCTGTGCTGGTTCTGAGTGGGATTATCACTCAGTGAATTCAGAGATCCAGTTCCAAAGCAATTGTGAAAAAAGTGAGGCATAGGATGGGTTTGTGCTCTGCACCAAGGATCCAATTCTTTAGTAAGTGTACACAACAACGTCCATAACAG